CCCTGGGATGGAAAGATCCAAGGAACAGGCAAACCTGGGCACCATCCCTGAGAGGGAAAGACCCAAACATCTACCCAGGAACTCTGCAAAGCCTCTGCTCTCATGGGGTGCAGCAGCCACCCTGCAAAAGGGTGACAATCCCAACTGCTGTGTGTCCAAACGGGGCTGGTGTCCTCATACCTTGTCCATGGTGGTGGGATCAGGACATCCCAAACTGTCTCCCTGTTGTGTTGATGGTCTGAAGTTCTCTTCAATCACTGTGATGCCTCCTGCCATCCGTGTGTTAGGAGAGGACAGCACTGGTAGCCACTGACCAGCTCCAACAAGCCAAAGGATCAGCTTCCTTAATGAGGGGAAGTGATCTCTTCCCTCTGGTGACCAGGGAACAGAGGAAACTGCCTGGGGTGTGTCAGAGCAGGGTTACGTAGGATCTCAGGGAAAGGTTCTTCCCCCAGAGGCTGGTTGGGCACTGCCCAGGCTCCCCAGGGCAGTGGGCACAGCCCCAAGGCTGCCAGAGCTCCAGGAGGGTTTGGACAACACTCTCAGGGGCAGGGTGGGATTGTTGGCGTGTCTGTGCAGGGCCAGGAGTTGGACTGGATGATCCTTCTGGGTCCCTTTCAGCTCAGGATACCCTATGATTCTATGATCTCTTGTCAGAGCTGTCCAAGCATGTGGACAGAGCCCAGGGTTCCTGGGCAAGCTTGAAAGGATGAAGAGGGATCCATGGACCTCACTGGGAGCCCACTGAGTGTCAGGGCTTGGAGAAGTTGCCTCAAAAGCTCCCCACTGGGGAACAAACCCTGCACTAGCAGAGCTGTCACCACCAGGCTACAAATGGTCTGGCAGTTGTGAGGAGAACACTGGGGGAGCCACCAGGACTCCTTATGACAGCCAGACCTGAACATAAGCAGCCCCAAATGTCACCATCACCTGGTGCATCCCCATAGTCAGGGCAGGGACACCACAGGTGTCCAAACCTTGGGATCAAACTGGCATAACTCTACAGAATGAAATCCAGCCTTGGGATGCCAGTGGGATAGTTTGGATGCACTTTGAAAGCAGGGGGACATTCCCCACTGCAAGTCTGGTCACAGGCCCACAGCCAGTGGGAACAGTCATTTCTGCAGAGCTGGAAAAGGTATTTTTAAAAATAAATCACAATCCCACTCTTTCCTGCTCAGGGGGTGGTGTGTGCAGGGCTCTACCCCCTCCATTGGTCACTCTGAGAAGGTCTAAGAGCTGGAGGCAAAGTTCTGATGGATCCTCCAAGAAGCTGGACCTGCTTCCATCCACTGGTTGATGAACGTGAACTTGAGAGAATTAATTCCTCACGCTGAGTGGACCCAAGTCCAAGGTGGAGCTTAACAGGTCAGGGTGAAACCTCTCATGGTGACAGTGGCCCAGCCCTGTCCCCCCTCTCTGAGCCAGCCTTGCTGTGTCACAGCTTCACCGACACTCCCAAGGTCACTGCTGAGCACAGTGACAAAAATCCCTCTGAAATTAAGTCTTTATCACCCCATTAAAATGCTTCTCACAGGGAACAAGACAAGAAAGGACAAATCCAAGGGAATCGATCTGCTGTGGAGCAGCACACAGCACCTGAGGGCCAGATCTCCATGGAGAAAGGGTCTCCAGGATGAAAGGAAATGACTGAACCCGGGATGAGATCTCCCAGGTCTATCCATGGATGTGCCAGGCCACTCTCCAAGCTCCAAGGGCTCTACAAGGACTGCATTTAAATCACAGACACTGGCACGTGATTTAACCTCTCAAACCTCATTTTCAGCAGATGATGGTTGTGCTGTGCCCCTGACACGAGGAAGGCACAGAGCAGCGTGTGCCAACATCACCCTGGCACCTGTGATGCCCCCAGTCCTGTCACCTGCCAGCACCATGGCACGCTGGAATGGTCACACACCTGAGTTCCTGAGGGATGGGTGAGGAGCTGCACAACTGCTGGACCTCTCCAAGGCAGCAGAGTCCCTAAAGGACAGTCACTGTCCCTGAGGTCCCACCTGTCCCAGGGATGTGACCAAAGTCACCTTCCCAGCAGTGAAGGCACCATCCCACCCTTCTTAAAGCAACAAGGACCTTCCACACACCTGAGTGTCACAGCTGATCCTCTGAGCACCCACCTTACCCCAGTGGCCACACAAGATGACCAGCAGAGCCCTCTGGCCACTTGGGAAGGGGACATGGGACCCCACACCCGGTTTCCAGCTCTCCTGAGGAGGACACACAACCCCAGCACAACAGACTCTCAACAATCCACATCAGGTACCAGCTCCTCCTTTACCTGATGGAACAAAAAGGACACTTTTGTCCCAAAAAGTGTCCCTAAAGCCAAGCCTTAATGCCTGTTCTAAGGTTGAAGTCGTCCCTTTTTCCTTCCACCTTTTTTCTGCCATAGCTTTTCTTGTCCATGTGCCATCCTAACAGGGGATGATTCTGGGAAAGGGAAGCATGGCCATGGGGACCTGGAAAAGGTCCCTTCCAGCTTTCCTCTCTTCACCCCATGACAATTATCACTTCTCCCCAACCTTATGAAGCACTGCAGAACCTCAAAGCTTTCCAGAGACACCTGGAAACTCTTCAAAGGCTCTTCAATCACAGTAGGAACTGGAGCAGAGAAGTTCCAGGACTTCTCAGCCGTGTGTCACGACAGAAACCAGCACTGATAGGACGACCAGCCCTCAGGTCCAAGCCCATTTCCACCCCAGGAGCCAGCCAGGCCTTGGATGGATGCACAACCAAGCTTGAAGATGACCATGAGCTCGTCCTATCGACACAGAGAGTCTTGTACTTCCCTCACTGCCTCATTTTACCCTTTGGGACCGCAGGACACTTCTCTTTCCATGAAACATGCCAAGGTTCAGGGGGTTTCTGTATCCCATCCCTGCAAATTTTGAACAAGGTTACCTGCTGCGGGATAAATAATCCAATTAAAAATGATTTGAGGATCTGGACTAAGCAATAAGAAAAAATATCAGCCAACAGCCCCAGCTCTTGCTCCTGAGATCATTTTGCTCCTCAAATCCACCCTCAAGCCAAGGAAGGATCCCATGAAGAAGGGCTGGAGCTCACCTGAGTTTTCTGGCCCAGCCTTCTCCCCTTTCTCTCCCCAGGGCTGTGACCAACACTGTCCTTGGGCCAGGTGGGATTTTACCATTTCAGTGCCCCCATGAAGCTCCATTTGCCTCAGGATCAGCAAGGCTGATCATGTAAATCCCTGCTAGAGCTCAATAAATCACCGTAAGAGCTTGATCCTTGGGCAGACAGAGTCCAGGACAACCTTCTCCTGCCCAGGCAGAGCAGGGGAGGGAGTACCAGGAAAACTTGATGAACTGAAGGACACAGAGCAAGGCTCCATGCCTAAAACTCACCATCTTTACTTCACGGCTTCTACAAGCCCACAGCTGGCCCGGGAGGAGGAACATCCCCTTCTTTCCACCATGGATCCCCCTTCCCATTCCCGTTATCCTCAAGGCTAAATCCCACTTGCCTCATAACCAACGGGCATCTCAGCAGGAGGGAGGGGAGAATTTTGCCCTGGTGAAACTACTCTTTTTTATTTTTTTTGGCTATGGAGAGAAGAAGGTTTTTTTAGTACCTGCTGGGCATTCCAAAGGAAAGGAACCAAAGCTGAATGAATGGAAAGGGAAGGGGCAGCAGCTGTGCACATGCCATGAGGGAACTCAGGAGATCATGAATGGCCGGGAGCTCTCCTGGCAGCCATGGAGAAGGCATTTATTTTTGCAAGCACGGGGAAGATGATGGAGCCAAAATTAGCACTGAGGGAAATGCGGGTGCAGTGGCTGAATTTCCAGCTGGGGCGGGTCGTGGATGCCTCAAAGCATTTGCCCTCGTTAGGGAAAACACAGGACACCAGTGGCCATTCCGTGATCCCAGAAAGCCAAGGCTTCAAGCAGTTCAGGCTGGACCCTCTGGGACCACGGGAAGGTGAGGGAAGAGGACCTGCAGCAACACACAGGGAGCTGCCGACACCGCGCCGGGGTCCTCTTATAAGAGCAAGAAAGGAGCTGGGGCTCACCTCTACCAAAACTAACACACCCTTCGCCTTCCCCGGAGTAGCTCACCTGGTCGTCTGCTGGAAAAGGGGCTTCTCAGCTGGCTGTGTCTCCCTGGGCAAAACCACGAGCGCTGAAGCCTGTGTGTCCCCGGGCTGCGGCAAAGGGCAGGGCTGGGCGGCTGCGCGGCTGGAGGCGGCGGGGACCCCGCGGCTCGGGGGGAACACGGCAGGGGAGGGGAAAACAAACTGCTCGGGGTTAGTGGCAGCCACGAGGAAAGGGGTGGAGAAGGCCAAGGGCTGGCTGGCATGCGGGAAGGGAGGCTGCACGAGCGGGTGCCCGGCGGGGTTAGTGGGCTGGAAGCCTTGCCCGAGGGCTTCCTCGTGGAGGCTGGAGAAGCTGAAGTCGCCCTGGTCAAGCTTTTCGGGCAGCACAGCTTGAGCAGGGAGGGAGGGGTCTGGGGGTGTCTCCACGAAGGGGTTGCTTGGGGAGTTGGGGCTGAGGGCCAGAGTAAAGGGGTTTTTCGAGGATGGAGCTTCCTGCTTGTGCCTCTCCTCCGCCCTGTCTGGCTTCCAGAAATCCGCCTTCTTGAAGTCTATCCTGCTGTCTGCCGAGTGCCGCGGCCCCTCGGGCTCGCTGCGGGGGGGTCTGCCCTGCTCTGCCTCCTCAGGAGGGCTGGCCACTGCCACGGGGGCACGAGGCTCAGGCCGGTGTCCCTCTTGCCCCTCACCATCATCCCATGCCGGCTGTGGGCAGGGTGGGCTCTCCCCACGTGCTAACCTTGGGCTGAGACCAGCGGGATGAGCAGCTGCCTCCTGCTCTTCCAGAGCCGACCAGAACATTTCCGGCTGGCCCAGGTCTAGCTTGGAAGGTGGGTTTAGTCCTGAAACACTGAGCTCCTCAGGGAACGGCTCCTTTGTGGAGGCCAGCTCCCACTTGGCACTGTCTGTGGGCCCCATCTGAGGGGACAAACGGGGCTGGCTCCAGCTCTGCTCAGCACCCGACTGGCCTGATCCGTCCAGGGAGAACTTGGATGCGCAGGTCTCGAACTGCTCAGCCGCATCCGTCTCGTTCATCTCCGATGGGTCTTCCCCCAGAGAGGTGTCCCCTTTTCCCAGCTCGCTGGGTCTCGCTGCTGAGTCCACACATTCAGCATCTCTGGAGACCAGAAACTCCCTCCCGGCTTCGGCGATGTCCACTCCCAGGGCAGGCGGGCTGGGAGATGCCGGCACAGAGGGCTCGCTGCTCACACGGCTCCTTGGCAACTCCACATCTGCTTTTGGGCACTCGGTGTCTTCCCCTCGCTCCTCGCTGCCTCGCTGTGGGCCACGAGCCTCCTCCTCCTCCTCCTCCCCATCCCCTCCGACTCCAGCGGCTGCGAACCACCGGGGAGGTTTTGGGGGTGGCACCGCCGAGCCGGCCACGATCTCCTCCCGCTCGTGGGTCCCTGTCCACGGGGAGAGGACGACGTGCCTCTCACGGATGTCAGAGCTGAGCTTTACAAGGCTTTCACTGGCCTCCAGCCTCATGCTGGCCTGGAGCCGGTACACCGACGTCCGGATGTCGAACGTGTCCTCCTCATTCCCAGCGCCCTGGAGCTCCGTCCCCGGCTCAGGAGGGGCAGGGAGTGGCCGTGCTGCCACCTCCGCCAGCACCCGCGGGGGCACGGCCACCACGTTGCTGCCTGGCAGGGTTTCAGGGGTGAGCTCGGGGGGGAAGGTGCTCCTGGGCAGCACACGGGCGGCGGCACGGGACGCGCTGTTGGCTTCGAAGGCGCCGTCGCCGAGGAAGGTGGGTCGTGGGCCGAACACGCTGTCCTGACCCACGCGCTCCTCAGCCACGCTTTGAGTGCTCTCTGAGGGCTCAGGAGCAGTTTCAGTGGCTATGGTCATCCAGCCATTTGTCCCTGCACTAGAGGATTCCTCCTCATCACTGTCCCCTCCCTCCCTGGTGCTACTTCCAGTCGTTAGTGCTGTCGAAGCCTCTTTTTCTGCGGAGTTTCCCGATGCAAACGCGGCTGTCCAAACCATGGGCGTGCTGCTCTTCCTCCTCCTCCCCATGGACCCTGCAGACACGGGGCTCAGCACGTCCTCTATCACCGTGGCCTCCTGGGTTGTGCTCACCAAGTTGGCCCCCACATCTAAACTGGAGAAATTTGTCCAAGACCGAAGAGCCGCGGGTATTTCACCCCCGATTTGGGAATCGGCCTTTTCGAATCCTTGTGTGCCCTTCTCATGGGCTGGCTTGGCTGCTCTCTCTGTTGGGCTGGCAGCATCAGCATCATCAATGAAAGCCATGCCCTCTGCTGCCAGGGAAGCAAAGAAGTTTTCCTTCTTCCCTTCCGGCTTGAGCCTGCTGGTGGCAAAGGCATCGAAGGTATCGTCCCACTCCGAGAGCGGCGGAGGGACGGTGGGTTCGGTGTCCGGAGGAGGAAGGTCTCCTTGTGATGGGGGAGTGGTTTCAGGAACGGGGACACCAATGCTTTTGGCTGGAGACTCCCTCTCTGGGTCTGTGTGCCTTAGGGAGGCAGAGGGACTGCAATCCTCAGAGGAATAAAAGCTCCCAGCGACCTCTGGTGAAGCATGCGGCCCACACGGGAAACTAGAGAAAAAGTGAGTAGGTGAAGGAGAATTTAGTACCTGGTCAGCGAGGAGGTCCTCAAAGAAGGGATTGCTCTGCAGGGAGTTGAGGAATGGGTTGGTGGGGGACAAGCATCCGGCCTGACTGTCTCCAGTAGCGGGAGGGAGGTTAGAGCTTGGCATGCGAGCGAGATGGGCAGGAGGAAACGGGGCGGGGGAGCAGGGAGGAAAATGAGAAGGAGCATCTGAGCTGGTTTCTACCTGAGGAGACACTTCCAGGCTGTGGAGGGAAGACAAAACAGTCCTCCTGGTTAATGCTGTGACAGAGCTGTGAGCACACACCACACACACCACAAACGCTTCGGTCCAAGCAATGCAATGACCAAACACATTCTCGGCTCTTGTTAGGCAGAGCAATGATTATGGAGTCAAGGCGTGGAAAGGGCATGCACGACACAAAGGAAAGGGCAGCCCTTCTCCTAGAACAGTCCTCCACGTTCCCCTCTCTGCCTCAGCAAGCCCAGGAGCCCGAGAGGTTTTTCCCACCTCCTGCAGCCCAAGGACTCGGCTCAGATTTTGGTCCCGACGCTGGTGCCCCAACCAAGGGCAGGTTGTGCAGGAGGAGCCGGGCTGGGCTCTTGGATCGGGATTGCTTGAACCAGTAAAGGCACACAGGAGTCTTTCCCAGCTTACCCCAGTCCCTCATGACTTGTTTGCCAACACTACCAGGCTGGCAGCAGACACGGAGCTCCCTCTTGCACAGGATGGGGAGCAGCACAGCTCCAGGTGGGCAAGGAACAAGAGCCAGGCAGGAAGGAGCAGGATATGACCCTGGCTCCGTTCTGGACTCTGCCCAGCCTCCCACATGCCCTTTGTCATGTCACTTCTGGCCTCAGATCCCAAGATGCCTGGAACCCCCCCCATGGGGAACCCCAAGGAGGAGGAATGGATTCAGCACATCCTGAATTCAGACTGTCAGTCCCATGGATGAGGCCAGTTCTTTGCTGCCTTTTCAAGAGGGACTACACTGACCTTTCTTCGGGATTTCATTGACCTTCCTTTGGGAACAACTCCAGCAACGTGCATCACCACCCTCAAGGAAGCCTCACCAGGCTCAATGGTTTTCACATCCCAAAGTGTGTGGTGTGAACACTCCACACCCCAACTGGTGCTCCAGCTGCCACTCTCCCTCCTCCTGAGCCCCCATCCCTCCTCCTGAGCCCCCATCCCCTTGATTCACCCTTGGAAGGAGCATTCCCATCCCCAGGATAGGGGCACTCAGCACCAGAACTGATCCATTGGGATTATGGCCACAAGTTTCAGAGCTCCCACTTCTGGTTTGGGAGAAACACGGACATGGATCAGCCAGCACTGGGCATATCAAACTTTAACAAGGAATGAACAAATGAATGGCTTTGCCACCATCCACAGGGTCTGTCCAGCCCTGGGGTCACAACTCGGGATTTCCCTCCTGAGCTGCCGGAAGGGATTGCAGGAATCACCGGAAGATCAAAAAAAAGTTGCTTGGACAAGTCTTTTCCTGTTATCGTGGCTGCACAAAACACCTTGGACATGTTTTAAAGCACAAAAATGCCATCTTGAGGCAAAAGCTGACGCTGTGGGCTGGTGCAGCCGGCTGGTTTTAAAGCAGGAAGAGCGACAGCCGACAGCACCCCTCGGACCACGAGTGATGCCCCAACCACGTGGCCCCACTTCTCCCCACTCCTGGCAGCTTCAGAGCCCCTCTCACACATCACCCTCGGTAAGGTGCTTATTTATGCCATCAATGGCACCAAAATCCCCTCATCCCAGTTTTTTGGTAGAAAAAACATGGACAGGAAGTGGCCGGGAGTGACAGGCTCGGCTCCAGCAGCCTCCAGACACCGTGCCGGACACCACTGAGCAGAATTAGGAATCCAGGGACACAAGAAGGCTCAAAACCCTCATTTCTACTCAAACCTGCAGCTCAGTTGTGGGCAGAGACAGCTCGTGGGTGCCCCCTCCTGCTGTCACTAAGCAGTGGTGGCCGTGCCCATCCCGGTCCCCAAACAGCCCGGCCGTGCTCCGACGTGTCTCCGTGTCCTCTCCTGCTCGGACCAGGGTGGAGAAACCACCGTGGGCAGCCCAGGTCTTCACAAGTGTGCACAGGTCCCCAGGAGAAGTGATGGGAGAAGCTGATGGACCTTTAGCCACAAACCACCCCAGAGAGACCAGGAGCCGGTCTCTGCTTGGAAGCCAACGTCTCCCGGCATTCCCAACCTGGGAATCAGCGTGTGGTTGCACCTTTTCCCCTAATCACCCTCATGTTTAAGCTTCCCAGAAGAGAAGCACAGCTGCTCATGACCCAAGGGAGCTCAAAACATCCACAAGTTGGTTTTAACAGGGCAAAACATGGCGAATTTTCCTTTCCAGCTGGAAAGGGAAGGTGTCAAACTCCAAGCTGGACCACCACGATGGGGTGGTGCAATGTCACACCCCGCTGCCCTCCCTCTGCTCGTCCTGCTCCTTGCTGGCACTTGCTTCCATGGTTTGGTCCAGATTAAGATCCATGATTTGTGGCTCTTAGTGCTGAGTAAGAGCATCCAAGGCCCAATCCAGCTCTGCTGGGCTCCAGAGCATTAATCAGCTGCAGGCTCCTAATGAGCACTCCCTGCTAACGACCTTCAGAGCTGCCAGAAGCCTGAGTGGGTGAAGCTCCTTCCTTGGGGGGGAGGCTGATGGCAGAGCAGCCCCCCACCCCAAACTGCACCTGCACAGGTGGAGGAACAGCCTTGAGGTCTCTTCAAACCCAGCCAAGATGATCCTGTCTTCATTCCCCAAGTCATAGAATCATGGAACGGTTGGAGTTGGAAGAGATCTTAAAGATCATCCAGTTCAAACCCCCTGCCCATGGGCAGGGACACCTTCCACTATCCCACGTTGCTCCAACCTGGCCTTGGACACTTGCAGGGATCCAGGGGCAGCCACAGCTTCTCTGCCCAACCTGTGCCAGGGCCTCCCCACCCTCCCAGGGAGGAATTCCTTCCCAATATCCCACCTAACCCTGCCCTCTGGCAGTGGGAAGCCATTCCTGTCACTCCAGGCCCTTGTAAAGTCATGATGAGGCTCATGGGGTGCTGGAATTGGTGACAATGGCTAAATATATAAACACAGAACTTAAATTCACCTTTTTTTGTCAGATTCCGATTTTCCTGCTCTAAACCCCCCTATGGAATTTTCCCTTCTGTCCTGAGTGAGCTCACAACGTCCACAAAGGGGATTTTTCCTGTCCCCATTCCTGCTGGGACCCACCGGCTTTGCTCAGGGGCTGCAAAAGCCCCTCTCAGCTGCAAACTCCAGACAGAAGAATCATGGAATTCTTTAAATTGGAAAAGCCCCTTAAGATCATCCAGTCCAACCATTCCCCCAGCACTGCCAAGGCCACCACTGCCCCATGTCCCCAAATGCCACATCCACAGGGATTTGAAACCCCTCCAGGGATGGGGACTCCATCAGTGCCCTGGGCAGCTGTGCCAATGCCTGACCACCCTTTCCATGAAGGAATTTTCCCTAATATCCAACCTAAACCTCCACTGTTGCAACTTGGGGCCGTTTCCTCAGAATCTGTGACTTTGCCCCGAGTTTTCAAATTGCAAAAGTCACCGTTCCACCCCTTTCCTTGGCACAAACACCTCTGTCTTGGTGACCAGCCTGGCACTGGCAGAAAACCTCTCTCCCCACGAATAATCCATCCCCAAAAAAGCCCCTTTTCCCGTTCTCCCTGATGCTGGAAGTGCTCAGTGAAACGAGGAGCGGAGGACGGCGGATTCCTCTAGAGGGAAACCTCCGCTTGCAGCAGCCTGGTGGAAGCTCTTTGCAGCACTGAAACGCTGACTCACCCTCCTCCTCCTTTTCCTTCTCCTCCTCCTCCTCCCATTCCCAGCACAAGGCTCTGCCAGCCAAAATAAATAGCTGGTACCTTTCTGCCCTCATTTATTTGTTTGGCAGCACTTCCCAGACGCGTTTTAGCCTCTCAGCAATATGAGGGAGGGGGGAAAGAAAAGGGAATAAAATATTGCTGAGCAACCCCCTGATGGAAAAAAAAAAAAAAAGAAGAAAGTCTAGTGGAAACAGCTTGTTCAATGCAGGGAGATTTTTCCCTGTGGATGCCGGCCTGGATTTCAGGCTCAGGGCAGCGCCCCAGCTCTGCAGTGACAGAGCACCAGCCCCAGCCCCTCTGCAGGAGGGTGGGTGACTCTGCACCGTGCAGATAAAACAGCACATGCGCTGGAAAAGCCGGAGTTTGGGGAGGGCAGGGAGAAATCCACCCGTAATGTGCCGAGGGGAAGAGCTGTGCTGAAGCTCCAGTGGAAAATCCCTCCTAGGAGGGCTGGGTCCAGGGATGTGCCGCGACCCTCCCGCTCACAACCTGCTTTTTGCCCCGTTTTTCCGTATTTTCGGGGGTGCTGGAGGCTCCTGCAGCAGCTTCAAAGCCTGGCAGGGATCAGGAATTTCCTCCCACCGGCAGGAGAAGGGCTGGCACAACAGGATTGGTGCAGAAAGGGGTTGGGAAGAGATGGGTACGGCACCCCGGGACATTTTTGTGCAGGGTGGGAACCCAAGAGGGAATGAGTCAGGAAATATAAGCAAATGCTGCTTTTAAATAGGAATTCTGGGGGTGAAAGAACTGGATTTACCCCTAATAAATAATCTACAACAATTATCTGTGCAATAACCACTTTACTTTCCCCTTGGGCCTCACCTGTCCATCATCCTGATTAAAATGGACAAATCCTCCTTTATAAGCATTTGCTCCCAAAACCAGGGGAATAAAAAAATAATTGAAAGAAATCTGGGTAGTAGGAGCCCAGATGCAAATTTCCAACCTCAATTCCCACTTTCAGGAGTGGGGGAGTGGGGCTGTGCTTTACCTGGACAGCTACAAAGCAGATTTGTGTCATCAGGGCTGAGCTGGTGCCAGCTTTGGATCCGACTCACCATCCTGCTCCGTGTCCATCCCTGGGAAACGCGGGCTCAGCAGGAAAAAGGGAGGTAGAAGCACTTTAAGAGCCATTTCCAGGCTCCTCACACTGATCCCAGCTCCACCCCTACGACTGATCCAATGCAGGCATTGCAGCTCTCCTGGATGCGAGACCTGGGCCAGAGACGTGATCCTGACGGCTCCCACATGGATCCATCCACTGTTATCCACGACATCCTGGGTCTCACATCATGGCCTTCATCTTCCTCTTCATCAAACTCTGCAGCTTCCCAGGTTCTGCTCTGGAATTCCCCATTAATGGTGCTCTGGAGGGGGTTGTGCCACTCGTCTGTGTTTAATCCCAATGCAGCCAGCCTGTCCTGCCCCAACCACTCCAAACCTTCTCCCCATCTCCAGCATTCAGGAAATGTATTTTTTAGGAGAACATGAGAAACAGTGAGGAATTTGAGTCAATATTTGGCCTCACTGCTGGATCCAAGGGGATGGACTCTGGGAAAGGGAGTGACAGAGGAGGTGGGGGAGGGATTTTACATCTTCCCCACACGAAAGCAGCAAAGAGGGAAGGGGTTTTAACCTGAAAATGGAACTAATGCAACTATTTTTACAAGACAGAGCACAGTTTCTCTCTTTTCCTACTGCCAAGGCCAAGATGGAGCCCCTTTTTTATCATGGGGATTCACACCACAGGAAGCAGGACCTGCAAATCTCTGATAACATTGTAGGAAAGCCTGAAAAACACTCCAGCCGATTGTTTTAGCCCCAGGCTTCGCCTCAAATAAACCTGCTGAGCTTCTTCCTTACACCACAACCCTTGACCACTCAACCTTAAAAACAACAAACCCCAAACAGCCTTTTATTCAGCCTCCAAAGAGCAAACACCACCTTCCTACTGCTCCCATTCAACCCAGTATCAAAGCCCCGGGAGCTCAACATGGATTAGCAAAGCCAGGGAGCTGCTCCCCCGTCAAGAATCAAGGAGAAACATGTGTAAATAAAGGCTGAAGGCTGAAAAGTCTTCCTTCTCTCCCCAGATATGTTTGCAGCTCCGGTTCATGTGCTGATGGCTCAGCAAAACTCACCCAAAAACAGAACAAAAAAAAAACCTTTTTGTGAAGCTGAAGTTCAACCCAGCCCAAAGTCAGCAGCTCCTTATTTTAGAAAGGGTGTGTTTTGCAAGAGCAAGTGTTTAAAGGCGAGCTCTGCCAAGCTGGTCTTAGCTGCAGGCAGAGTTTTAAACCTCAGCTGGAACCATCCTTCTAATTACAGACCTTCTTAACTAATTACAGGTTGAGGTTTTCGGCCTTGCAAAAGTGACTGATTTTGATGCTCTCACGCCACGTTCAGCTCCAGGGGAAACTTGACCTCTCCACGGTGGGCACGAAGGTGAGGAGATGCTGCTGACAGGAGCCACAACGCTGAATTTCCAGAATCAGGAGAGCAGGAGGGAAAAAGTCCTTTCTGCAGGTCAAAGACTTCAAACTGCTTCATTCCGAGGTTGGTTCTCTCCAGAACAAAGGTTCTTCAGCCCTACAAGTTACACTGGTACCTGAACAGCTCCTCCAGCTGCAGATGGACATTCACAGAACCCCCACAGATCACAGAAACATGGAATGGTTTGGGCTGGAAGGACCTTAAAGACCATCCAGTCCCACCCCTGCCATGGGCAGGGACACCTTCCACTAGCCCACGTTGCTCCAACCTGGCCTTGGACACTTCCAAGGATCCAGGGGCAGCCACAGCTTCTCTGCCCAACCTGTGGCAGGGCCTCCCCACCCTCCCAGGGAGGAATTCCTTCCCAATATCCCACCTAAACCTGCCCTCTGGCAGTGGGGAGCCACCAAGACCTAACAAGCTCTTTGGCAGCTTTGAGATGACTCAGAGTTGAGGTCCACAAGGTCCCTCTGCATCAGGAAGGAGAACAAAACCAGAGTTCTGTATAATTAGAAGAAGTAATGACCTCGTAATTAATGGCCAGGAAAAAGGAAGCACCAGGACAGAGACACATCATCTCCCTGGGATGATGGAAAAGCCACTTCTGCATCAAATCAGACTCAGGCACCACCTGCCATCACTTGCCACCTTGTAATGCTTCCCAAAGGTTCTCATCTATCCCACTCCCAAATCCCTGGATGTTGGGAGGGAGAAACCCCCTTCCCAGCCAGGCAGCTCCAGCGCTTCCCCATCCTCCATTAGACACTTCTCCCAACATCCACTTTAAATCCCCCCCCTGCTCCAGTTTAAGCTCATTATTTCCCATTTTCAATTGCAAACTGCAGCTAAAACCCACTCAGACGTTTCTAAACGCCCCAAAAAGGGGGCTCCTGGGAATTTGTTCCCTCCATCCCGCGCCGCTCCGAAGCCATTCCTATTTCTGGGAGAGAGAATCCCAGCCGGAGGAGCTGCTGTCACTCGGCTCATCCAAGTTTTTCCTTGTCAGACAGACGGGATCCTCGGCAAAATGACTCCCAGCAAAGCTCGGTTTCGGCTGAGCTTGAAATTAAACTGTGAGAGCACTGAAGTGGATTTAAAAAAAAAAACATGGAGTGAAAACCCTCTGGGAAAGGAGTAACAGTGGGAATGTGTCCAGCATTTTAGGAAAGGCAGGGAGTTGTTAGAAACCAGCAGAGTTTAAGGGCACCTCTGTGATTATCTGCTGGGTTGGATGTTCCAGGAACCAAATTCCAGCTGGAATCGAGACACCCCTGCCTTGAAATCAGCTGTGTCCAAGGGGAGTGGGACAGGCACAGCTCCTGCATCAGGCTGGAACACACAGCCCTACCTGCCTCCTTCCCAGAACTTCCCAGCAGGAGGAAACCCACTGGTTTCTCACCCACTTTCCGAGAAAAAGGCTCCAGAGGGAGATGCAGAGGGCAGCTCCCATCCTGTTCCATCCCATCCTTTCCCATCCCATCCCATGCTCACAGTGCTTCGTTGGCTGGCTCAGGCAGCTTGTGGAATTCCTGCCTGGATACAGCAGGAATTTTATGGCTTGATTTTTTTATTCTAGGACTTAAAGAGCAGGTTTATTGTCCCAAAATTAGATGGAAAAATTAAAAGAACAATCCTGAGTGGGAATAGTCTGTCCTTCCTCAATGACAGGATTCAGAGACCATAAAGATGTCCTTTAGGCTCATCCACAAATCTGGCACTGGGATGTGGCACCAAATCCCTACCAGGGTTTCAAGTGTCCTGGGAATCATGGAATCACAGCATGGTTTGGGTAGGAAGGGACCATAAAGATCACTTTGGTCCAACCAGGGACACTTCCCACTATCCCAGGTTGCTCCAAGCCCCATCCAACCTGGCCTTGGACACTTCCAGGGATGGGGAATGACAGACCCATCCATAGGAAAGCAGCCATGGCAGTCCAAGGATCTCCCAGTTGTCTCTCCTGCTGCTGGAGCAGCTTGAGGATGGAGCTCTCACATCCTGCCTGGTCCTTCCCATCCCTTTGTGGCAACCTTCTCTCTCCCATGACAGTTTTGGGGGGAAAGAGCCTCAGGCCTGTGAGATGGGATATTCCTGACCCAGGGAAGCAGCTCCCACCTGCCTCAGTTTCCCCAGCTCTGCCCGTGGAGCCTCAAGGCTTTGTGTGGGGTGAGGAGAGCAAATTCTGGAGGAGGAATTTCGGGAGTTGCCCCTGTCCTGAAGCCAGGCTGAGGGATGTGCTCATCCCTCTAAAAGGTTTAACCCATGTGGGAGCCTCTTGAGATGGAATAAACCACGAGTGGCCTCCTCATTAAAGGAGGCTTAGACTGAATTCAAATCCTTCTGCTGAATAAATTAGGTTAAAGTCAGCCCAGATTAGAAAACCCCTATAATGAATCAACCTTGTAGATTCAACCAGCTCTCGACTCCTGGTTATTTTTTTCTGGCTGTTTTTAACCCATTTCCTGAGGGAAAGGGAAGAAATGGGTTAAAAACAGCCAGAAAAAAAACCTCTGGACTCCCAGCTCAGCTCCTGGGGGCTCCAGGGATGGACACAAGTGATAAATTCCTCACAGAAACAGCACAAACATCACCCTTTGTGTGCCACAAAGGCAGGGTTGAGGATTTGGGGGGATGAATCATCACAGAAAGCGAGAACAGTTAGAGATTCATAACTGGGAGAAGGGAAGGCTGGGTGGGATGGGAAAAGGAAAGAGCAGGGTTGGGATTAGTTACTTTGGGACTATTAATAATATCTCAAGTTATCAAAGTGACCAGACCAGACCACGCAGAAGGGGTGGGAGGTTAATAAAAATAATGTGATTACATGTCATGATATCCCACATCCCACACTGGCTTCCAGGGAAGCCTTTTTAGCTAATTAAAGGATAATGATCCTTAATTTCAAGGCCACAGAAACACCTGGTGTGACCACACCCTGAGCCTCACCCTGCAGAGGGAAACCTCTCCATGAAGGGGATCCCTCCCTCCCTGAGTGGAAAACACATCCCACAAGGATAAACAGAGTTGGGCTGTGGCAGAAGCCAGGAGAGAACCCAGGAAAAACCCCCTTCCCTTTGAGACATTTAAGACCAAGGAAGCCTCTTCCCTGCTGTGGCCTTGCCCGAGCAGCAGGGCCGGCACTCCGCCGATCCCGGGAGCGTTTGCCAGCCTCTGAAGATGGGAATTTGGGGCAGGAATCAACAGCCTGGATATCTCCACACCCCCCCTTCCACTGACCTGGGTTTCTGAGGGGAATCTTTGGGCTCCTTTGAACCAAACCAGCCGCTGCTCTTACTCCTCTCGTCTCCCGCCGCCGCGGCCTGGACGGAGGGTCCCACTTTCTCCCCCTGGCCTTTGCTCCCCGCCTCGCTCCGGTTGCCCCCGTGGTGGAAGAAGCCACCTTTTGGTTTCTTCTCTTCCTTCCTCGCCTCCTCGGGCTGTTTGTCCGAGGAGAAGCCCACGGGCGCCGTGGCTTGGGTGGGCTTGTTGTTCTCCAGGCGGCTGTTCTCCTCCATCCTGGCCCTGCCCAGGTGGTTGCTGAGGGTGACGGCCTTCGTGGAGACCTTGAGCTCTTCCTGCAGGGCTAAGCTGGGAGGAGACGGGATGAACCTCGGCTCGTCCCTCTGCTGAGGCCTCTCGAAGCCGCCGACCCCCCAGGGCGCCTCATGGGGGTCGGGATGGAGCGGGGTGAAGCCGAACCCCTCGTCCTGCCTCCTGGGCACGGCGGGCACGGGCAGCGGGGCAGAGCCGGGCGGCACCAGCGCGGGGCTCTTCGGGGCGGGCTCGTCGCTGTAAACGTGGCTCCCGTTGATGCAGAGGGAAGAACGGGACACGGGATCGTTCTTTGGCTTCGGGCTTTGGATTGCTTTGGGCTCCAGGACCGGGCTGACCTGGGAGACGTCGTCGCTGAACGCTCTCTTGTGGGTCAGCTTGGGAGACGGCAAATAGTCTTTCACTGAGGGGGGAGATTGAGCACAAAACAGAGGTGAGGACGTGACAAGCAGCGTTATCTCCTACCTGCAAACACTAAAGAGAGCCTTGAAATCATCCCAGCTCCTGGGCTCCACTGGATTATAATTAAATTTGAAATGCAGAGCCCGGGACACAACTAAGTGAGGATACAGGACACACAATATCTTCCCTGAGCACATCACCTCCCACTGCAGGACTCAGAGAGGAGACTCTGTAACATGATAAGCCCCTTGTCTGAGAGGATCTGAGAGGATCTGAGATGGATAATAAATGCAAGAAACTCCCCAGAAACTACTTAGAGGGTTTAATGCTTCTGTGTGACTTTGGAGTTTGCATGATTAGGAGATGACAAGGCCATGAGCTCTTCTCCAACCAGCCAGGTGTGACAAGCCAGGAGAATCCAATGCCTTCATCTCCCTCCCAACTGCCTTGAGGGTTGGACTTGAGGATCTTAAAGGTCTTTTCCAACCTTAACAATTCCATGATTCTACAACCTTGTGGATACTGCAGACTTTTGGGGTTAAAAATCGTGGAGAACTCAGAGACAAGGACTGCCTGGATTGAGGTGACAACCAGCTGCTCTCCCCTCCTGGCTGGAGATGTTTCCTTCATAGGATCATGGAACGGTTTGGGTTGGAAAACACCTTACAGATTACCTAGTTCCAAGCCCCTGCCACAGGAACTGGCATTAGATGGAAGGTTCATCCCAAGGATGATGGGATCAGAGCAGTGTCTCGACTCGCTCTCCAGCCACGGACACGACATGTGGGAACGTCATCCAGCAGAAACCCCCTGGCATCTCCCACCCAATCCGGGAATTGGCTGTGGTCAGCCAATTAAACCACCTAATTATATATTTCGTTTTCAAGGGACGGCGAGAATTAATTCCCTACAAGGGCCTTTTTTGTTTGGAAATCGCCGCTCTCCGGGCGCCAAGAGCTCGGATTGTTTTAATCACCGGGAACTGGGCACTGCTCCGGCTTTGCCTCCAAGCCGGAGGCGGCTCGTTAGACCAGTGACCCAGTGCAGGGCAGCAGCAGCTTCCCCCAGCCCTCTCCTGGAGCCTTCCAGTGTCAGGGACCTGCTTTGGGGGGTGAGAAGAGACAGCCCTGAGGAACCCTCGTATCCCGGGAGCTCGTGGCGCTGCGGGAAGGACAGGGAGTATCAACATGAGCCAGGCACAGAAAAGCAAAATCTTGGATGTTTCTCCCCATTCTGCCAAGCACAAAGGAAGAAGGCAGAAGATCTCAGAAGGTTTTTGCAGGACACTGATTCTCAGCCTGGAGAAAAGGAGGCTCAGGGGGGACCTTCTGGCTCTCTGCAACTCCCTGACAGGAGGAGGGAGCTGGGAGGAGTCAGGCTCTGCTCCCAGGGAACAAGGGACAGGAGGAGAGGGAACAGCCTCAAGCTGTGCCAGGGGAGGGTCAGGTTGGATATTGAGGAAAATTTCATCATGGTTGTCCATCCCTGACAAAGCCCCGGCAGCAGTGGAGTCCCCATCTCTGCAGGGATTTAAAATCCCTGTGGATGTGGCACTTGGGGACATGGGTCAGTGGTGGCCTTGGCAGTGCTGGGGAACGGTTGGACTCAACAATCTCAGAGGGCTTTTCCAACCCAAATAACTCCACATTCCTACGATTCCATTATTAGGTCAGTAATCAGTTAACAGATTTGCAAGAAAGTCTCAACAGTCCTTTACAAAGGAAAAAAGAGAACAGGGGAAAAAAAAAAGGGGGGGAGGGATTATCCATGATCCTCTTACCAGAGCGCTCCATGGACAGACTGCTGTGTCTGCTCGGGGATTTGGTTACCTCAGGAACATTTGCTGCCAAGCTCAGGCTGGCAGAGGAGATGGTGCTGTCGGATCCCAGGGAAGTGTTGGATTGCGTCAGGGACGACTTGCGCAGCTTGTTCTTCAGGAAAAAGCCCTTGACTTTGGCCTTCTTGCCCCCCATTTCGTAGTCATCCTCCACGTCCAGGCCGCCCAGGCTGCTGGGGATGATGGCAGAGGCCGACTCCAGGTCGTATTTCTTCTTGCCTGTCACCTTGTCCTTCAGCTTCCCGAAGGGTGACCGTGGTTTATCCTTCATGGACAGGTCGAACATGCTGGCTGTGAGGTTGTTCCGTGTGAACTGGATGCTCACCAGGATCTCACCCCGCTCCTTCTCCTTCTTCCCGGCCTTGGAGTGCAGCTTGTGCCACCTGGAGCCAGAGAGGAAAGAAAAGGAAAGGAAAGGTGCCTCTGTCATTTCCAAGAGTCACAAGCCAGGAAAACTCTGGAGAAGACGCTGCTGGGGTGGGAGAAGGCACCAGTGCTATCCGGCATGAGTTTCTTCATGGAAAGGGTTGTTAAACTTTGGAAGGGGCTGCCCTGGGAGGTGGTGGAGTCCCCACCTCTGGAGGTGTCCAAGGAACAACTGGACATGGCACTCAGTGCTCTGGGCTGGGTGACAAGGTGGGGATCAGTCACAGGTTGGACTCCATGACCTTGGAGGGCTTTTCCAACCTTAATGATTCCATGATTCTGTTCTAAGAGTCCCAGGTGCCACCTAAAACCCGAGTCAGAGACACCCCTCAACCACCGTGGCACTGTAAGAGCTCCATCTCCATCCCTACCCTTGTCCTAAACACTGTCCCTCCACTAAATAACCTGGAAAACGCCACCTTGGTGTCAGACACTACTGTGCTTTTCCAGGGAATGCTACCATTGGCCCAGTTTTTGTAGGGTCACTTGTCAGGTTGCTGGGAGCTCAGGTTGGAAAGAAAACAAAGCCGACGGCGCTTTGTGCTCCTGGTTGAAATATTCCAGAGCCAGTGACTCAACAAATCCTTCCAGGCACAGGCAGACTCGGAATGGCAAAGGCTCCCAACAACATCCATCAAAATAACTTTCTGCCAGACCTTCTGTGTCTCACCTGAAATAAATGTGCTCAGGTTTGACTCAAAGTGTCCTTGCATCAAGTGCTTCGAGGATGGTGAATCCCGGGAGTTCTTTATGGGAAGGAGAACCTCCTGTGAAGCAACTACTCAACCCAACCCTACCCAGGCTACTGATTTTTGGGAAATATCTGCGTTCCCACAGCTGGCTGATGGAATTTTCCTGCCTGGTGAGAGCTCCAGAAGGAGATACTGGTCATGTCCATCTGCTCAGAGGCTCCCACTGACTCCACAGTGGGATCCCGGGGATGTTTCCCGCTGTCCTACCCCACACAAAACCTGGAATATTATGGACTGTGCTCCAGAGCTCTGCATGGCAGGAACATGGGAAAAGCCTCCAAACCATCCACTGCACAAGGCAAAAATAATCCCAACCTCCATTTAGGTTCCAATCCTTCCACGGGAAGGGCACGGAGCAACCTCTGGGAGAGGGGTCTTGCTTCCTGCCAGTGGGAATGAAAGGTGGGAGAGAGGACACCACGGCAAGACATGCCCAGAGCCACCTCCTAGTTCTCCATTTCCATGTTTAGATGGGGCAGCACCAAACACAGGCCATGAGGGAACAGTTTCTTCCCAAAAATCGCTGCCAACCCAGTTGTCCTTCGCTCCCTTTTCCCTTCGCTCCATCTTTCTGCCCCATTCCAGGCGCTGCTTCCCAGGGCAGCTGCAGCAGGATGAGCAGGTCTCCAGCACAGCCACTGCCCTGGTAGCTCTGCTCCCTCCCAAATCAAAGTATTAAAAGATGAATTTATGATTAAAATTCCCCTTAACAAGGCCCAAGGAAAGCTGTAGGTTCAGGACAGACTCTGTTTCTCCACGTTGTCCTTCCTGGGTGAAAGACACAGCAATGGGAGCTGGAAGACATTTCTGGACCCGGGTTAACATTTTCCCAGAAAATAAAACATCCCAGTGGTGTTTTACATCCACTTGGAGAGCGAAATCACTGAGAAGAAAAAAAAAAAAACAAGGAAGAAAAATGTGCTGGGATGGAGGTGGGTGTGACCAGGCTGAAATCACCAGGGCAAGGAGAGAAGTAGAATTGTGTTCTCCAGAAGTTTCCCTATTGCTGCCAGGGAAATTATCACATCCTGGATGAAGGGGGGAGCTGGGAAGGCTACACCATTCCCTGGAATTGTCTAAGAACAGGTTGGATGGGGTTTGGAGCAACCTGGGCTAGTGGAAGGTGTCCTTGCCCATGGCAGGGGGCTGGGATAAGATGAGCTTTAAGGTCCCTTTCAACCCAAACCATTCTATGAATGGGGCACAGACCCCCTAATTCCCTGATAAATATTCCAAGTGCATAGCTGGATGCACCCAGGTCCTTCACCAAGTAATTCAAAATGCAGGAAGGACAGAGCCTGGAACCTTGCTGGGAACACACAGAGAATTAAATCCCCAGTGAATGCATTCCTGTTCCCACCACTCCCTTATCCCACCCCACAGGATTCCCACTGCACAATTTTCAGTCCCCAGGCTTTGAGCTTCAAAATATCCAGGCAGGCAGGAAAAACAAAATCCATGGGAAAAAAAAAGCAGCATTAACCCCTTAGAGCAAAACACCAGCAGCAAAAAGACACCGGAATGGGCCGATCCACTGCCAGGGAGAAGGAGCAGGTGAGTCAGGAGGACACTTCCCGTAGGATTGGAGGGGAAAAGGCTGCCTGGAACATCCAATATTGTTTAGTTGAATTCAAGAGCTGGAAGAAGTTCAAGAGGGAAGGGCTGGAGCAGCCTGGCAGCTGGGACAGGAGAGATTTGGGGGCTGAATCACTTCACAGGAAAAACAAAAAAAAACTCCTGAAAGTAGTTTTTACACCTTACGTCATCCCATGGAAAAAAAAAATAGGAGGAATTTGAGTGGGTTAACACAAGGAAAGGCACGAGCTTCCGAGGATGATGAGAGGGAACAGCATCTCCCATCCCATCCCTTCCAACCTTGTGGGCATTAAAAGGAATTTGGGGGCTCGGCCTGAGCTGCTCCAAAAAGCATCTGTTCAAGGAAAAGCCCCTGCTTGTGCTGGCATGGGATTAAGGAGCTATTTTTGGATCCCAAGACCTCATCCACAGTCGGCAAACAGTCAGGACTACACCTCCAACAGGCAACAGGGCTATTTTTAGGCTCAGCTCTAAGTTGGTGGCACCAGACGAGTGTTTGGGAGGATTAAGTTGTTCCACACGTTGTGTGTTCCTGGGTTTTTATGAATCAGTTCCAGTGGAAAAGGGAGATGCAAACGCTGCCTGGGCTCAGGGAGGGCTGCAAGTCCCAGCCCAGCTAAAAATCAAAATTCCACAGCATTTTTTTCACTATTAACCCCATCCCACAGCCCTTGGTTTCCCATATTTCTTCCCTGGCTGGGGGTTTCTGGATTGGGGCCACCCAAGGTCACATTTTGAAGGGGGCCACGACCTCTTTTATGGGAATAGAGGATACACCTGGAAAAACAAACCAGTTCTGCCCACAAAACCCCTTTTCCAGGCTTGAAACAGCAGAACTGGGTTATGTTAATCGGACTCTGGAAGAGGTGCTGGAGGAGCACAGGGAGAAGGAGGAAGCTGTGCCAAGCACATCCAGCACCAGGGATATGGGGCCACAAGGATCTGCTTCTTGGGGGTGTTTTGGAGACCTCTCCTGAGGAAGGTGGCACCAGCTTGGATCCAGCTCCTCGTTGCCCAGGACATCCTGGATAAGACACTCATCTCCAGCCACCCTGCTCCGAGGGTTCTTAGCAAGGTTTGGAGGTGGCCCAGTCCAACAGTTAAAAAATTAAATTAAAATTAGATTAACACTAGATTAAAATTAAATTAAACTGGCTGTCTTGTCCCAGAGCCAGAGTTGGTGGTGATGGGGAGCAGGATTGCTCCTACCTAAGGAGATGTGCTTGGCCCCCCCCAGTCTGTGCTCCTTCCCTTGCTCCCTGCAGCTGGAAAGGGGCATCCCAGAGGATGAATCCAGCTGCTTCCCAGCCTGCTGGTCCTAAATCCATATCCTTCTGCTCTGTGGAGAACTGCTCCTTCCCCCATGAGCTACTGCTGGATTATCAGTGATGCTCCTGCTGAGACACCTCAGCCCTGGACACGTGGAGAGCCAGGTGTGCTCAGGGATATCTCCAATGGGACACATCCAGGGAATTCAGCCTGGAGACACAAACCACAGGCTCAGGAAATCAGCTTTTCCTAAAAAAAAAAATGTGTATTCTTCCCTCTGACACTCCCTGGATCCAGCACCTTGGTGCAGCGTTGCACCGTGCTGGAGGTGAATCCTCCCAAAACTGGGGATTCCAGGATCTGTCCTCCATGGATTCTATGGCAGGGAAGAGGCTGGAGAGCCCCCCAGGCCCTGGGGATGGCTGAGGGGGAAGGAAACAGCAACTCACCCCATCACAGGGGGCTGGGAGAGGAAACCTCAAACAGAGAACCCCTCGGAAACAGGAAGAACCCGGAGGCCCCTGCGAGCTCCGGGGCAGCTCCTGGGAAGCCAGACGTGCTCCAAGGGGTTTGGAAGCTGGGAACACGGATTGTGAGCATCCATGTGTGGCAGAGGCCTCCCCAGCCCCCACCCCGTGGCTGTGCTCACTCATTTAGGTCACCCTGGTTAATCAGCACATCCCAACTGCCTCCAGACACTCGGAGTGAATCCCTTCCCTCCCTCCTCCCACTCATTTCCACGGAGACTCGAAGGGAGCGGCTGCCAAAAGGCAAGTTTGGGAGAAGGCACCCGGCGTCTATTTTTACATTTGCTGTTGCCAGGATCAATTGGAGGCACGGGGAGCTGCACACAAAGCACTGCTGTATCTCCAGCTTCCCAAAAAAACACGTTCTTCCCCCCCTCATCCTCCAGCAGCATCCCGGACCGGAAAGGCAGCCAATGCTGAGCAAAGGGAAAAAACACCCTGGAGTGGAAACAGGAGCGTAGGGATGTTTGCTAAGGAGGGATGAGGACAGGATGGATTTGCTCAGGGTCAGCACAATCCTCTTCTCCTTGCTCTTTGTCCTCCCTTGGGCTACAGGTGGCAGTTTATGGGGAGCACAGGGACACCCCACTCCTTGGAACCTTCTGCTGGGTATGGAATTGCTTGGGCATGATTTTCTCCCTGTCAATGAGAATATTCCTTTGGGTTTGAGACAACTCAGCACCTCCTGGGATGGGAGGACAAGCTCCTGGGATGACCAGGACATAGAGCCAAACCCCAGAACCTCCTGGGATGGGAGGACAAGCTGCTGGGATGACCAGGACACTGAGCTAACCCCAAAACCTCCTGGGATGC